GGGGCGCCTGGGTGGCTTAGTCGGTTAAGCGTCCGACTTTCGCTTAGGTCATGATCTCGCGGTTCGTGGGTTCGAGCCCCGCGTCGGGCTCTGTGCTGACTGCCACCTCAGAGCCTGGAGCCTATTTCAGAGTCTGTGTCTCCCTCTCTCTCTGACCCTCCCCTGATCACGCTGTCTCTCTCTCCTAGAAATAAATAAAAATATTAAAAAAAAAAAAAAGAAAAAAAATCTTTGTCTTTAGGTTCAGCCTCATGTTTACCACCCTCCCCCCCCGCCCCCCGCTTCTAGAAATGTCTCGTATTAGCAGTCTATCAGCCATTAGCAAGTTGTCCTGTTTGAAGGAGACTGTATTTTGGTGTTGTGCACACCTGCAGCTTGGAAGGAAACTCTCCCAAGTCTGTCCCGTTGCTCACCAGTGATCGGCCTGCGCCTCGGCCTCTGGAATTTTGTTGTCTTGTCTATGTGCTCTCATTCTCTTTCTCAACAGTGATGCTGTTAGAATTTTTAAAATTAGTATTTCAGTAGGACTCAGAGGATGTGAATATAAATGTGTTCAGTTTGTCAACTTTAACTGGAAGGCCTTTAAATTTTCTCTTCCTACCTATTTGAGGTTGCAGCAGGTTCCTGGATCACTGTACTCAGCAGCGGCTAGGCTGTCGTGACTCCTGGGATGGGAGCAGCTTGGGGTTCTTTCCAGCGGCATGTGTGTCATCATTCAGGGCCCTGCTGCCTCTGGGGCTCTAACTCGCGGCTCGGAGGCTCTGGGGCAGGGCTGCAGGCGGAGCTGCGGTCACTGCAGCCTCAGGACTCAGTTGTGCTCAGCCTTCGCCTCTTGCCTGCTCTCCTCCAGGCTGTCAGATCCCCGTGGCTGGAGAGGGCTGGCCTTCACTGCTATGTCCTCAGGCCCAGTACGGCATCTGGGAGTTTCTGCTTAGTTGATGCTTGTTTGTGGACTTGGGGCTGGTCCAGACTCTTGATCCACGCCAGCGGGGCACTTCCTCCAGTCCGTGTTCCCGTGCTTTTCTTGGAATTGGCCTGCTCATTCCCAGGTCTCACTTGCTGCTTTTCTGTACAAAGCAGGCATTCCTGGATGCGCCCCTGAAAGGAGCAGCGGCCCCCACCGGCATGCACCGCACTCCTACTTCCTGCCCTGGCCTGGGAGCCCGTCTCTCGTTAGGAGGCCCTGCTGGTGACTCTGCATCGGTTGTTGAGAGTTTCCCGAAGCTGCCTAGCTTCTGCCCTAAGAACGGTTGATAAACGTCCGATCTTAGCGGCTCTGCGCGTACTCTGACCCTCTACTGTTGACGTCCAGCTGGAGGCAGGCGGTTCTGCACCGGGGACCTGTGCTCTTGGACAAAAAGGAATATGGCCACTGGAGCAGATGGAAGTGGAGGCTCCCCGGTCTTGCCAGCGTGTTGTCTGTTTTGCCCTGGAATGGGGAGTAGTGACCGGGTGGTTCCCCACACTCCTGGGTATCTGTCCAGGCGACAATTCTTCCTTCTCACCATTCACTTTGTTGTACTTGTGTGAAAATGTCGGAGGGGTGAAGTAACCAGTAGTTGAGATTTTTTTTCCTCCCCCATAAAAAGCACTTTCTCTGTGGAGAAGCCATTTGGCAAACACCAAAAAATTTCTTAACTGGGAGAATAACTTTTGACTATGGTGAAAATATTCATGGGGTTTCTTTCTTTTCCTCAAGTTGTACCAAACCTTTGGAGTGCTGATGGAGAAGTTACAGTCCCTGAGCAGAAGCCAGGAGAAGTCGCCGAGGAGCTGGCGAGCTCCTACGAGAGAAAGCTCATCGAGGTAAGGCCGGCTGCCTCTGTGCCGTTCGCCGCATGGTGGCTGCTTCCTGGACTGTCCAGAAGCAGGTCTGCCCTGTCACACACATGTTAGGAGGGCAATCAAATCCTGCCCTCCCCCAACCCCCCACCTACAAAGCAAAACACAAAATGGTAAAAGCCTTGTACTTGGTGAAGAAAACTAAGAGTGGCTTTGAAAATATTTGATTAGAAAGTTTTGGTATCTATGTCCAGGAAGTAGAGAAAATAAAAACATGATGTTAAAAGTAAGCAAACAAATGTACTCTTGGATTTGGAGATTGCCAACAGGAGAGAATATGGCCAACGGCTCTGCTCATAGATGCGCGCATGGGTGAGATGGCCTGTTTCCTAGGGGGATGTTGATTGTTCACGGTAACTGAAGATGAGGCCTGCCTGCCTGGAGGGTGCCAAAAATGGGAAGAAAGTTGTAAAAATAGAAGAGGTACCCTAGGAGGTGGCAAACCTGGATGCCTTTATGGTGATTTTGGTGTTTGTACTTCCTTAAAACATCATCTGTGTCTTTATATCTTGGTTCAAGTGTGCATTATTCCAATATAAACAAAAATCACAAAGACAGCACAAAAAAGAAACTATAGTCCACGTGAAAGTGGGAAATAGGATTTCAAGGATGGCTTAATGTTAGGAAATTGATCGAGTCAGCTTATTCATAATTAAAGGCAGAATACCAGATAGTGATCTTGATGGGTACTAAAAAGTCATTTGATAATGTTCATCATCTCTAACAAAAATACTTTTTATTGGTGTAGACTGGATATGTAACTTTAGTTTCAAGTATATAACATGGTGATATGACAACTCTATAATAAAAATATTCCTAATAAAGGATAAAGGAGGGCACCTTGGTGGCTCAGTTGGTTAAGCGTCTGTTGACTTGGCTCAGGTTATGATTTCACAGTTTGTGAGTCTGAGCCCTGTGTTGGGCTCTGCACTGTGTGGAGCCTACTGGGGATTCTTTCTCTTCCTCCCTCTCTGCCCCCTCCCCGACTCAGGCTTTCTCTCTCTTCTCAAAATAAGTAAACTTAAAAAGAAATTAAAAAAAAAAAAGAATTAAAAAGACTTCATTGATAGGGTAAACTTTTTTTTTTTTTAAACCATTCATTGTAAAGCTGAAAGGCTAAGTTTTCTATTAGGTAAGTTATCTATAAAATATATAATGTAAGTGCATATATATGTTGTGGTCACATGGTGGTAGTATTTATTACAAGCCGTGCACATACACACTCTAGTACACACCTCGACTTGCAGTACTTTCTGAATATTCTACAGTACGTTTTATTTTGGGAATCAGAAAAACATGTGCTGTTACCTGGAGACCTGCCCGACCTTGGGGTAGGTTTCAGAGGCAGGGCCTTTGAGGAGGCGGCCCTAGGCTCAGGTCTGGTTCAGGCTGATTACCTTGTGATATGTTTCATCTGGTTCCTAATGAAATCTAAAGAAAGGAGGTGAGAAACCACTTGAATTCTAACTCCAGGAAACTGTAAGGCAGATGAGCTGGGGTCTTAGCATAATAGGCTGATAGGGGAAGAATTCCAAACCATGATGGAAGGGGCTGGGGCCTGGGGAGACTGTCCCCTCAGGACCTCCCGTCACTGCAATGGCGTATCCTGGAAGCCTCATTTCAGTGGGGTTGTTGGCCAGAGCTGGCTGGCGGTGCTGCCAGGTGCTGGGCGGTCAGTGCATTCCCGGAAAGCCTGGGCAGAGAGGCGGTGAATGGGCCCTGTTCCCTCAGGATGTGGTAGCCTGTGTGTTTGTCTCCCCCAGGACTGTGAGTCCCCGGAAGGCAAAGACTGTCTCTGTTTACCTGTGTGTACTCAGCTACCATTTATTGGCAGGTGGCAAGCAAGCATATTTACATTCTCCTAGGACAGGCATGCCTCTCGTTTGCTGCATGAAGAAGAGCTGATGAGCTCAGAAGGGGGTCAGTGTCTTCTCAGAGTGGAAGTGGGTTGGTAGCGTGTGTTCCTTCAGGAAAACCGGGACCAAGTGTTGAATCATGAGGACTTGGTCAGACCTGCGTGGACTGCAGAGCCTGGCGCTCCTGCACCCGGATGCCTTTGAGCATGCTCAGCCCTGGGCCCGATGCTGCAATCTCCGTATGGCTTCGTCCGGCCGGAGAGCTGGCCTGCTCGTCAGTGACTCCAGCTGTGAAGGGCTCGAGAAGACCTTGGCGGGCTCCTCAGCCCACTGAGCGAAGCCCGTAGTTCGTTAGTGGGGTGGGAGGTTGCTTGGTTGATCTGGTGGTTACTGGGTTCCTGCTTTCTGCACAAAGAGTGGCAAGGACAAAGGTCCTGCCCAGGGACAGAGCTGGCAGGTTCTAGGACCAGAAGGGAGACCCCCAGGTCTGGAACAGAGCAGACAGGCCGGGAGAGGTGGCGCTGTGGTTGCTGAAGTCGGTGGGCTGGAGCACAGTGCTTTGGAGGCCACGTTGCGGCCGTGCCAGCACCTGCTTTGATCATGAGAGTCTCCCCATCTCACTGCCCACACTTAGGTGATGTGCAGGGAATGTGATGGTGGGATGCACTTGTGCTGTCCTTCTCTTTAGCTGCCGCATCGGGGGGAAGATGGTCAAGGGTTAAGAATTGGTCTTGTCAGCCTTAACTTCCTGCCTTTCCTCTGCAACCCCCTTACTCCGGGGCCAGTAACAGAGTTGGTGGCCATAGTGGAAGAGCGCGGAGAGAAGGGAGCTTGCAGCAGAGATGCTCCTCCCAAGGCCTTCTGTCCACCAGGCTGATTTGTCACTATTTATCTGATGGCAGAGCAAGGTCCATCTGCCAGGGGTCGGTCTTCTGTGAGCATCACAAGACTTTTACTGAACCCTTTAGGTTAGTAGTAATTGCATGCTTTACAACGTTCTTTGTGATGCTCTCCATCATTTTATTCACAGTTGGTGTTTACCACGGGGTTCTAAACACATGTCCAAGTGCAGTAGTGAAAGCACGTTGGGGGAGGTGGTGAGTGCTTCCTTCCTTTTCAGAAGCAGAGGGAAAAGAGACCTTTCATTTAAAATAATAGGACTAATTGAGGAACCCCAACAGCTGAATTACTCTTTCCTGATTGATTCCAGTGAAAAGGGGATTCCTGAACATTCTTTCCCTAGCTGTCTCTCAGTATTCACACCGCCTCATCTACCTGTGCACACGACATACACATCAGTGCTCAGCGACCTGCCTCCCACAGCCCTGGCAGCTTGGTCCCCAAAGTCAACACTGTGAGTCACCTGTTAGTGGCAGGAGAGCAGCAGGGACCAAGGACTAGAAATCGAGAAGGTTCTTGACACCCTGTGATGGTCAACTTTCGAAAGCAAGAAGGAAGGGAGAATGCCAGCAGGTGTAGGCTCATCTGGTGATGGGGGAGCACGAATATGAAGGCACGAATTATCCATCAGCCCCTGTGATTGTAGCTGCTAGCTGTCGGCTGCACACTTACTTCTAGCCCATGCGCTAAGATGGCTTCTGCGTGGTGCCCTCCCGGGAGCCTCAGGAGACAGCGTCAGGGAGGACGCTGTTCAGCTGGAGCTTTGAGAAGTGGAGTGATGTGCCCAGGGTGTCTCAGCTCACTGGGCAGCGGGGCTGGATTCGAATCACCCGGGCTGCCCAGCACCAGAGTGCAAACCTCTCCTGTCTGCCATGCTCCAGAAGGCCACTTTCCTGGAAGAAACACAAAAGGTAGACCTGACCGAAGAGAAGGAACGGTCACTGGTCACGTTGGAGAGAATGGGTGGAGGGAGGAAAAGACGCAGTAGATAATAGGAATGGTACAGCCCCAGCGGTTCGAAGCAGTGCTGGGTGGGGGAGGGGGGCACACCCTACATGCTTAGTTACGGCGGGGGGCGGGGGGCGGTGTGATCTCCTCTGTGCAGGAATTACCTGCTTCTGCAGGAAGCGGAGCAGAGCACTAGGCTGGGAGCTCGTCGAGGGAACTGTAGATGCTGTCTTTTTAATTGCATATTAATTGCCCGACATGGTTCCAGCATACAGTAGGAGCTCCATAAATATTGAACAGAATGATGGTCTGTTGAGTGGCTTCAGCTGTGCAGGGTGAGGTTTATAAAAAGTGTTGGATGTGACTTTGGAAGCCCTGGCTTGCGGGTGCCTTGTACGAGGCGCCGCTGCAGGAGTGAAGGCGGACTCGTTGGCACTCAATTTCAGGAGGGATTTTAGCCTGGAGAGGACATTGGGGGACAGACGGCCAGTTCCGATTCCTATAGCACATGCTTCCTGAGGGTCTTCCAAGTGTTGTGCCCTTCCCTTCCTTCTTCCTCCTCTCATGGGCCTCCCATCCCCAGGGGGGTTGATGGTTCCAGAGGCGATTCATGGAAGATGTGGGCTGAGGCCGGGATGGTTCTGGAATGGCATTTACTTACCGGGATTATGTTTTCCATCTTTTTTGGGTGGTGTCCTTGATGTTTCATTGGTGGGTGGCACTCGCTCCTCATTCCCCCCAGGCTGGTCCTAGGTCACAAGGTGAGGGAGACATGGTGCCTGTCCCTAGGCGGCTCCCAGCCCAGTGGGTGGTGCATATGAGTCTGTCAGGATTGTCAGGGAGCAGGGCTGGAGTGCAGATGGAGAGTTCCACCTCATGGCGTCCTAGAGCCATGTCTTCACCAGCACTTGTGCAGAGCTCAGGCACCTTACGTGAACTTCCAGAAGGCACTTTCCTTTTTCTTTCAAACCGTTAGTAATGAAGCTTGGAATTGCTTTTGTAAACTTCCATATCCATCTTGAAGATCTAGACGTCAGGGGAAATTGATTTGTTCTCCCCAAGGGTTTTGAGAATAAAAGATAATGGATGTGTCTAAGGAAGATCTGTTCTAATATTCTTCTTTACCTCTTTTGAGGACAGTTCCTTCAGTTTAGAGTCCTCTTGGAGATTTTCCCCATTCTTTTCCAGCAGCTGTCGTCAAGAAAAATGTAAAATGTCAGGGCATTTGGACTTTGTTCCTGCATTTCTGCAGCCCCGCCT